AAAAAAAAAAAAAGAAAAAAAAAACCCGAAACTTAAAGTATGCATATAGTCTGTGCCTGTTAATGTTCTCACCTACTGATAGAGCTCTGGACCCATTGTCTTTGGGTGTGATTGCGATTACCATTGTTCCCTCTGAAGACGGAAGGAGGAAGACAGGTAGGCACTGGGCTAGGTGACTGGAGAACACGTAGAAGTGGAGAGTGTTAATGATCTAATCCTGCAGAAATGAGGTTAACTACGCTGTCATAAATCTACTAAATGCCTTAAAGGTGTACTAAACACATCTTTCAGGACACTTATCTCTGTGATTTTACACTTCTTTGTGTTCGATTTAATTCTGTACCAGTTGTGTGAAGGAAGGGTCCTGTTGGCTTTGTACTCCACTATAACCAGAGCACCCGCCACAGGGCCTGGCACACAATAAGAGCTTCTGAAATAGTTGTGGAATGGATAACATGAAGCTTAAAGTAAGTCTTGGGGTGAAGAAACTCCTTTTTTTTTACAACATGGGACAAAGACTAGAGGGAAACCTCAGTGGTTCAAGTGGTTTTGAGGAACAATGGAAAGATACGCCTATGTGAAAGATAAAGAATCACAGGTGGGGAAAGGCTGAGAGTCATTTAGCCTGATAAAATTGGTCCTAAACATAAAATATGTAATCAAATCCATTCTCATGCAATTATATCTTCTAGATTCAGGGGCTCTCCCCCCCCCTGCTTTGTTCCAGAAAAATATTTTTCCCTAATTTTAATCAAGGTTTGACTGAATTAAAGATTAAAAACTTTTTTTTAATAGTCAATGTAGTAAGTAGAGCTTATTCACTTCCACTCTTGGCACTAGGATGGCAAAGATAATTCATTTAGACAGGAGAATATAGTGCTTCTGGGATTGTGGGGAGAGGTGGAATTGTTCTTTTATGACACATTTCCTAGATTAATTCGCTTTTTTCACTATGTGGCACACCTGTGTGACTATAGGATAGCCTGAGTTTTTGACTGTGACCTAACTAAAACCGACTGAGAACTCTATTGTGAGGTTTATGTGAGCATGAATCTCTAGGAAGCCTATGAAGAGCCCTGTGAGCTGTAGTCCACTGACTGGTGCACTAAGATTCCTACGTTCTCCACAGGAATCAGAAGAGATATCAACAGCTGAGGCAGCACCATATAATCAGAAGACTTATCCTCAGGTACTAAGAGTCTGGGCTACTATTACAGATTGTGAAAAAGGCCAGGTTCCCAATGTTAGGATGAGGAAGAAAGAAGTGAAGCCATCATCTCTTTACTCTTGTATCTGCTTCACTTTTTACTCACTTGCGTCATCACTCAAAATTCTAAGCTTTTTTTTTTTTTTTTGGTACTGGGGATTGAACTCTGGCCCTTGCACTTGCGAGGCAGGTGGCGAAACCACTGAGCTAAATCCTCAGCCCCATAAGCTTTTAATAGATATTTATGCTAAACACATTTATTACATTTCAATATCTCTCGATGGTAAATGAAATGATTTCAAAGGGCAATTGATCGTGAATCTCCTAAGAAGGTTCACTGTTTGGAGATCTTATGCTCTCTAACATTTGGCAAAAGAGCTAATGCAGAGTAGAAATGACAAGTATTTGTTGATTATTTGCTGACTTATTATCTTGTTTGTTCTTTAGAAGATATAAAACCATTTTAAATAGATAAAATATAAAGAAAAATTCAGTTTAAATGAAAATTTAAACAAAAGGGAAAAGAGCTAGAAAAAGAATATAGTTAAGAGTGAACTTACCATGCAAAGTATATGGAATACTTTATAAACGGTTGATCTTCCTTACAGATTTCATATTTGAAAACTTAATCATTAAAATTGATTTGTAAACCACAAATCAATACAATAGTGTACTTTTGCAGTCATTTGCAGAGGGCAGAGCAGTAAAAAACTTTCCACACACACATTTCCAGCTAAGGCTGAACAGGGCAGGGTACATTCTGCTTTCTTGTTTCAGCTCTCATACTGCAAGCAAATGTCCTTTTTATGGTCTATTTAGCACCTTTGAAAAAACATAATCATTATTATTTCTATTCTGCTGTTCAAAATGGCATAGTGTGAAATGCTGTGATAATGTGTTAAGAAAATATATGGGTGAAGGCGTTAGTTCTTGACCATGATTTCAATGAAAACAAATCAACAATACATATCAAATAACATGCCTTTAAACAAAAACATACATAAAACAAAGTTATATATTATCTTCTGATGAAACTAGAGGTTTGTAGGAACTTAATTTCCTAATTACACTAGGAGCAATGTTCCAGCATTGGTTAAGCTAGTATTGAATGTGACTTTGTTGAGCAAAACTACTATAATTAATGGTAACTACATAAATAATGAGAATTGACTATACTTGCAGGAGATGAGAACCCATACTAAGTTTTCTAGTAGCTAACAGACAAAAGGAAATCTGATTAAATGCATTGTTTAATGTACCATATCATGCTCTTTATTCTAGCATTTGGTTTTTCCTTTATGCTCTCTCTAACATTTTCTTATTTTCAAATCCTCCTTGATCAAGTGTCAATATACTTTTCTAGACTAAGTTCTTGCAAACACAAATTATTCAGGGTGACAAACTAAGGTAAGAGATTGAGAGGATATTGTAATTTACATGTAACATTTAAAAGTAACCACTTAGTAAACAGGGATGAATTTCATAGTTGTCTTTCATTAAATCCAGAGATTGTTCTTAATGCCACAAAACTGAACGTAGAAATTCTCATAAGAAAACAATTTTCATTTGTTTAAAAGGTCATATGGTAACTACTAACTCTGAAAGATACAAGATCAATCAGAATGTCCTATCCTCCAATACAAGTTCCTGTGTTTAGTAATGTTCTAGAACATGGAGGTAAAGGTTTGTAACTTCGTTAACCAAATTACCGACAGACTCAAAAACTGAAAGTCTTTGTGAAGGAAAATAATTGTACTCACAGAAGTTTTAGGAATTGAATTTTCCTTGGAACATTTGAGAGTTTTATCAGTAAACTTAAAATATTTTAGTGATTAGTGTTAATCAGGCAATGGCAGTTTGTCTCTCCTGAGAAACTTTTATTGCTTATAAACAAAATATAAGATCTCTTTTCATGGTATAATATACAATTTAAAATACAATTGTGGGTGCTTTTTAATGAGGAAAGAAGTTTCCTTTCAAGCACTTGCAATCCAATGCTGGTATACAGGCTTTTTGTTCAGAGATTAATCTCTTTGTTGCTCTAGTTGAGCCCGTATTACAATGCAGAGGATTTATTTTCTTCATATCAAAAATTTTAAAACAATACACCCATAAAACAAAAATATATCCTTTTCTCTAAACCTAATTATGACTTATGCTTTTTATATCAGATGAATTTCATCTTTCTATGAAATATATATTAATGAAATTACAAACTGACGATTTGGAATTTATTATTCTAATGAAAAACACTTACCTGTTGTTGAGGAGTTCAGTCTGACACTGCGATCTTTTAGCTGTTTATCGGTGCAGTAACTCCTTCTGTGTAAGTAGGAAATTTATACTTCATGGTACCTCCCTAATTAGTGTGCAGGGGAAACAGAAAGCAGAAAAAAAGTGTCCATACCCACAGATGGGGAGAGGCTTATGAGCTCTGTAAGGTGAAACTCATCTCAATACAACACAGGTTTTTTTCATTTCACCTCTTCCTTTCTGTAGCATTTAGTCTTATGGTGTACAAGCCAATGAATACTAATTTTGATTTGGAAGTGGACATCTTTTAGACATAAAACCTCTATATCCATCAGGGTATCATGCAAAGGAACACTGAAGGAATGGGAAGCAGGCAGATAGGAAACAATAAGAAAATACTATAGAGCTCTTACCCTGTCAGGAATTTTTATTTAATCTGAAGAAAACTGATTTTGATGCCCTAAACTTCCAAGGCTGAAAGGGCTCTAATGAACATGCTTGCGGAATTGAGAGTAATTTTGAGAATATTTACTCCTTTACCCGATTCTTTTGAAAAATGATTCAGCTTTCTACCCTCACCTGGCTGCAGTCTCACCATGGAAGAACCGATGTAGGCATCTCAGTGTACAGCACAACACCTGAGTCTTGGATATTAAGCCCTATGGACATCTTAACGGCACATGGAGAGTGCTTTATTTTGAATGTGATCTCACGGGAGGATGCTGTTTACCGTCTTTATGTTTTATAAGTAATACAATCGCAGTTGAAGGTTGAAAGTGATTAGAGAAATTATTTTAGATGTCAACTACTGTGTGTCAAAAGAAGTGTTTTTCACACTGTTATCTTTTTAAAAAGATATTGTAAAGGGCAACACATACCTGTTGTAGCCCTACGGATCTTAAGGTATTCTCAAAATATAAATTGAGAAAAAGAATTTAAAAATTGAACAGAAGTTCTTTAGAGATCAAGTACAGTATCTCAGAGAAAATGGAAAAAATTAGGGTTCAGGTTATTTATGGAGACAGAAAGATTAAGATCTTCCCAAATTTAGATTTTGTAACTGAGGATATGACATTCTGATCGATCTTGTATCTTTCAGCTTACCTTGTTTCCAAGTGCATCCAAAACAAACGTCTACCTCTTTTCAAAGTTCGTTGTTTTCTATAAAGCATCAGAATGAATTAAAAGGGTTGCTTTTTGCCTAAGGAAAAGTAATCAAAAAGGTAAAACCTACTTTCCCAGGAAAACTGCATTGGTTGAAAGTAACTAAATTTGAGACATATCTTCCAATCAAAAATGAACTTACAACTTTGAAATTAAAAGTAAACAAAAAAGGGAGGGGAGACTAACAAGGCTGTCAGTGTAAGATAAATTTAAAGGAAGTTTTAAGTGAACAAAACCGTGACACATAGTATTCTTGGACCCAGAAAAATACATGGATTTGTACTTTGTTGTAGCAGGATTTACTCATTAAATTCAGTAGCCTCCCCTATTTATAGCCTAGCAGAAAATTCCTACAAAGTCAAAGTGTCAATTTTTTCACTTCCTAGTTCTATTACTTCCTCTTTGTGTGATCTTCAGATGGGTAAGAAACTGTGTCTCAGTTTCTTCAGAAGCTGGATGTGAGATAATAGTAACTATGATGAGTTTAGTCCCCATGGGTTGTTGTTAAGACTAAACATTGGTATAAAACACCTAATGGCTTACAACAGCGCCTGATACAAGCACACAATCAATGTCAGGCATTTTTATCATTATTGCTGTCGTATAGTCTTCTTGCCCCACTTGAAAATTTGCATTAATGTAAAGGAGTGGAAATAGGGTGCAGTTGGCTAAGATACATTTGTTTCACCAGTTTAAAATGAGTAATTTCATTTAAAGTTGTATTCTATAATGCTTTTATTGAATTTGGAAAATGTCTTCCTTCACCTTCCTCTTTATCCAAGTTTAACACTATAATCAGTCTTTGGTATCTTTGGTACAGTAAATCCGTAGCCTGTAACAAGCATAGGAAATTTTAATGAAAAGACCAAATGCATAGGTCAACCAAGTATGGCTCTATGGTGGCTTAGTAGTGAAGAAATACACTCAATAGCAGTAACTTTTAAGATGAAATAGAACACAAACAATGGCTTAGCCATTTTAAAGATGTAAACACATCTGAGAAATTTGAATTTCTCCATGCTTTAGCTTTCTTTTTCTTAAAGCTGAATATTTCTTGACAATGAATGAAACATGAGAGGATTTAGATGTGCTTAGATCGTAAGCCATGAACAATTCAAATACTAATTTTGACAGGTGCAACTGCATGTTTTTAGTAAACAGAGAATGCCAAGAAATTCTATCCAACCAGATCAAAGAAAGTAAATCCCTTAATTTTATGTTCCAGTGCAGGTGTCTCACATGAAACAAAGCCTACTTGTTAAACAAATCTGTACAGGTCAGTATTTACTAGAGGAACTGGTAAAACACAAGATAACAAGATTATCTTACAATAGCCACCCCCAGGGTCGGATGAGAAGGGGTCCAGAGAGTCTCTCTGCACACTGGAGATTGAAGGATTCAAAGTTCTGTAGCTTGCTGTTGTGTCCTGTGGGTGTCCGTATCGGGAGGCCAATGGGTCTGTCCTGGAAGACTGAAGGGTCTTCGCTGGAAGGCAAAGACTAGAGCTTCTCCGAAGGAACCAAAGTCCACCGTCCTCATTTCTTATAACAGTCAGAAAGGAGCAGCCCTAAGGTGTGGAATTGCTGAGCTGCTTTGGCTAAGCTTCTCTTAGCCAAACTTCTCTAGTTCACACAATCACTCAACCATAACAATATGCCCAACAGAGAGGGCAATGGAAGGACTCAGATTAAAAAATTTTTAAATGACTAGCATTCCCCTTAAGGTCTGCAACATACCTATATGGCCTGTCTCTCAAAAGTTATATCAACTTAATGGGGGGAAAAAAGTTATACCAAATTATCTTTTTTCAGCAGATTTACTGCATGCCAATTTTCTAGTATGTTCAACAATTTTCCCTTTAGCTTTTAAAAAATCTTTGCCAATCTGATAGGTAAGGACATTTTATTTGCATTTAAGTGATTATTGTAAGGTTGAACACCTTTCAAGTACCTATTGTCCATTTATGTATTTTTCTTTGGGAATTATATATTTTCCTAACAGGTTTTCAAAGTATTAGTAACATTTTAGAACTCTTGATTGTTTTACATATATTTTACACTGTGTTGTTTTGGCTTGTTCTTTTAAAATCTTATTTCAAAAAATTCAAAATGTATATAATATTTATTTATTTATTTTGGTACTGGGGATTGAACTCGGGTCCTTGCACTTGCAAGGCAGGCCACTGAACCGCTGAGCTAAATCTCCAGCCCTGTCTTTATTTCTTTTATAGTTTCATTTTTGCTTAAATGAATATAGCACTTTTGATACAGTGAAATCTGTCAAGTTCAAAATTTACTTTAGTTTCTGCTATTTTATATAGAATTTATTTGGGTATAAAGTTGGAATATTAACTATGCCCTTGCCCCATAGTGTAGTTAACCAGTTTTCTTGACTATTTATTGAAGGATATATGTAATTTTTTTCATTTGGTATACTACCTTTAGTATTTAGTATCTTCTAATACTTGGAATACATATGCTATACTTTTACATATTGTATCCTTTATACCAAAGCATGTACTTTTTAGAACTTCACATTTCTAATATGGGCACCTGGTCACTAATAAAGGGCTTTATCATAATTGGGTTGACCTGTATGGGAGAATGGTACGTAAGGACACTACAAATTAGAGCTGCTATCTGTATTATTGGTGCCATGTGCAGTTGAATTTTAATTTTATCTGTATCTGTAATTCTTTAATTCTTTAAAGTACATATACCAAAAGTGAAGCCTTTACAGAAAATATTGTGTACGTGTGGGATTGTTACTGTCAGGAATCCTACAAACCTCTCAAAGTTAAGGTATTTACTTTTAGAGTGACACAGGAGAAGTATAACTAGCTCATGCATGATGAACAACGATCAGCAACAATGCTGCAATTCTAATTCACTTCGAATAATCTGTTAAAGAGACATTCTGAGGAAAACAAAACATAGTTAAGGTAACTCTTCCCTTCCTCAGCAGGAGCTAGTATTTCATGATTAATGTTAACAGCCAATGACTTAGGGCTCTGTATCTGTTAGATTTCCCTTGACTTAAGATGGCTGCTACATCAAATAGCAGCCTCCTCCTTCCCATAATGCTCTGTGCCTTGAAATGGCCACCACATGGAATAGCAGCCTCCTTCCCATAATGCCTTCCCACCAGGAAAGGTTCACCTGATACTTGCTACCTCGTAGCAACTAGTGATGTCACAGGCTCCTCCAATCCCTTAATACCACCTCACTCAACTCCACCCCAGTACAGGCTAACTCCACCCCACCTCTATAAAAGATGCTCCCCTTCTGTTATGTTGCTTTTCTCTTCTTTGTTCTGAGTAAGCCTGGCAGATCCTCCTCAGGATAAAGGTCCTGGTTTTGGGCTCTTTTTACCTAACAGTATCAGTCAGTGATTACTAGAGAAACAGATTTAATGCAAGATAAACACATATAAGGGTTTACAGGGTTGGTTTGAAATGGCCAGCCCGAGTCAGTGCAAAAGGGCTGTCTGGGTGATGGAGATATGAAGGATCCAGTCAAAGGACTGCAGCTCACTGTAGTATATGGTGTCTGTATTAGGAGGCTGAAGAAACTGCTGGAAGCCAGGAGATGGTGTCCAAGGTAAAGATGAAGACTGGAGTCCCTTTGAAGAAATGAATGAGCCTTCCTTCTCTATTTTCCTTTTATACCATTCAGGTGGCAAGCCTATTGGTTGCTGTCACTCACACCCATAACTATGCTGATCCAATTTAGCTGGGTGTTTCTTATACCAGTTGACACAATCAGTTAACCATCACAGGCTTAGTCACTCTCAAAGCATGATATTTTAAGTTTCCTGGAAGTTTTTAAAGATATTCTATAGAATGTTATTTTTAGTTCCTCTGCTATAGGGAACAAAGAAAGGCAATGTGATCAGAACCTCTGCATCACACCTTGAGTCACCTGCGAGCCATGACAGCACAAGGTGAATTAATACATAGACAGAAATGAGACTTAAGAGAAACTGAACTTTGGCCTGATCAATGCAGCTCTACGCAGCAAAGACCCCAGACCCCAAGCTGCCACACAGGACATCGGAGAAACAAAAGTAGATGACTCAGAGGGCAGTGGGGATAATCCTAGAACAATGAGGAACCATGCAGGTGAAGATTTGGTTCCTCCCGGATATCTCCAGCTGCTATAATCCTGCCCTGGAGCATCACAGCCTCACCTGACCACTGAGGTTTTAGCTGTGACCACAGGCAAGAAGAGTTGACTCAACATGTTGTAACCAGCCAGTAGGCATGAAAACCAGGCTTAATCTTGATTTAATCATGAAATTTGCCCCCAAAATGATGCAGAATTGCTCTACACTCCCATAGTTCTTTGCATGAAGTCTCTTTCCCTTTAAAATCCATTAATGGTCTCTTATTTCCTATGAGGATATTCCTTTTGATGCTTTTACTGAGCTGTTCCAGGATCCCATGATATGTGGTTCTCATAACAGTAAGCATACACTCACTTTAACTACAGGTGTGTTCTCAGTGGTCTATTTATGGGAACTTTTTTTTTTTTTTTTTTTGAGACAGGATCTCACTGTGTAGTTGAGACTGACCTGGAACTCACTATGTATACTTTTTTTTTTTTTTTTTTTGAGACAGGTTGTCACTCTGCAGTTCAGGCCAGCCTTGAGCTCACTATGTAGCCCAATGTGGCCTCGAACCTCCAGCGATCCTTCTGCCTCAGCCTCCTGAGTGCTGGATTACAGGAATGTGCCCCCATGCCTAGCCCAGTAACTTCTAAATAAACTGCCAAAAGCATTTTACGTTAGAAACAAAAATTGCAACTATTTTATTTCACATATGATTTTTGATATAATCTATTTATATATAAAAGCTTATTATACATTCTAATTGGACAACTTTGTCTGGCTTAGCATATAATCAATCCCTTTCTTCCTGCTGCTGAAGTCAGGGGTGCAAGAATCTACCTATCTTGCTGCTGAGAAACACATTTTGCTGACCCCAAATTTGTCTTCTTTTTGTTTTGTTTTGAGACAGGGTCTTGTTATGTAGTTCAGGCTGGCCTTGAACTTGCAGAGATCCTCCTGCCCCCGCCTCCCATGTGCTGGGACTACAGGCATGTGCCACCAGACCCAGCTGTCTGCCTTCTTTCGTTTCTCAGAGCAAGAACCTTTGGTGGCTAGTTCTCATGCAACGGGTGTTCTCAAAACAGTTTTTTCGTTTGTTTTAAGGGAATAAATGTGCTTAGATTCCTTTTTAATAGTTTTCTTAAGAGTATGCTTTGATGACAGTAGGAAATAAATGAAATAAAAACTTAACGCCAATTTCAAAGCTGAAGGAACCCAGAAAACTTTAACTATTGAACAAGATTAGGGAGTTAGGTAAGGGTAGGGACACTCGGGGATTTTTCAAAGCAAGCTCTCAGCTACAGAATGAGTGATGTAAACACGTTTCTATTCTGTAAGCTCTACACACAGGCACTTCACACATACAATGTCCCAGCATCATAACTCCTCTGTGCCAACAACAGGTAAGCTCCAAGTAGCCGTCACAAACTAGCTATCCTAGCTATTCCCACCATATGTTTTAGGCAAATAACTGCAGTACACCAATATAAATATTGATTTTCTAGACTTCGCAACTGCTAAAAACAGTATTTAGGACTACATTAGATGCTAATGATAGGCCCACATAGGCCAATTTTAAAGTGCATATTAGAGGATCATAAATCCTGCAGAAGCTTCAGCCTCTGTAACATCATAGGTTAATAGTTTTACAAATTTATAAACATTAAATTAATAGGAAACAATGTAAAAAAATTCTCTAAGAGGCACTTAGTTTCTTATAAGCTTCTTCAATGAACACTGACATGCTCTTCATCTGGGATGAATTATGAAGAACATCCAAGTCTTTTAGAAGAACATTCTGGTTTGGAATTTGCATCAAAACTTCTTTCTGTGGGTAAGATAGTATAATTGGTTTTTAATATTTTATTATGAAAAAGGTCAAATGTCTGTTATTTACAGAGATCTTTATAAGCATCTATCACCTAAGTTCACTAATTATCAATAAACAACCATTCATCTTTCAAAGCTATCTTTCCCCCTCTCCACTGGAAGATTACAAATACAAAAACTTTAAATTACGTTTTGAGAAAACATGAAGACATTCTACTACTATAAACATTGATACTATAATATGTATTGTGGCCCTTTGAAGAAAGAAAAATTACTGTACTTTACTAAAAATATGATAAAGCTACTTTATAAAGAATTATGTACTACCTTAGAAGTATAAACAATTGTCAAGATTTTCTTCCCGAAATGTATCATACAGTTATGACTACACAGATACATAAATATGCATACATCTATGTGTGCACATCCCCCGGCATTATCTATGATACAAAGTTGATTTATTTCCACTAGTAATTTACAAATTATGTATATCCAAACAATAGACTGTAATATAACTACTGACAAGTATGAGATCTTCATGAACTTACAAGGAAAGATATTCAACCTACATAGTCCAATGAGAAAAGGAATTTGTCACACAGCTTATTTTAGGATTAGATTTGTTTAAAAGACACAGGATGTGATTTCACATGTATCAGTGCATCAGGTGATGCAGTCGGTACAGTAGACAGGTACTTGCCTGCAGTGTGGGTGCTTTCAGACTGTGCTGAGAAAGTTCTGGGAGAGAAAGTATGTTACGTCTATCCAGTGGAAGCATCTAAATAGAAACAAAGCTAGAGATTATTCAACAGGCTGATTTTGCTGATCTTATATTTGAAAGTTGTTTTTTAAAAATGTAAGCATTAAAAAGTATATCCAAATTCTGGAGGGAGTGGGGAGGGGGTGAGGGGGTAAAAGAGTTAAGATATGTTACGCACCCACGCATGATGGATGTAATTATTATGTATTACAAACATGTACAATTACCTCTTTTGCCTTTTCCTCCTCTTCCTCTATCTCATGTGCCAGAATTTCAATTTTATTTTTCAGACTCTGAATATTCCCAGTCACCAACTCTGTAGTCTGTATTATTTTGTCTATTTCTTCCTAAATCAAAAAGAAAATATTAAAATTTAAATATATTATGAAATTAAACACTAATAGATTTATATAAAATGCTTCATGTACCAAAACGCTTTTGAAAGAAAATACTGATATTTGTTTTTCTTTCAAAAGACAAACTTCTTAGAAAACTGCCTTGCCAGTGTAATAATGGATTATAAGGGTTACAGCAGAATAAGGAGAACTTTTCCTTAAAAGTTTACCAAAGCGCTAGTATCAGTTGTCCTGGGAGACCCAAGTGAGAGTCTTGCAGAGCCCTAGTACTGATAACAGCAAGTACAGCAGCCACCTTTCAGTAGCATATAACTTCATGTGACAAAGAAAGTCTAACTTATTTTCATATAGTTAGGAATATTTGATTGTCTTTTGCAACCTGCCAAAAGCAATCAATGCTGGGCATTAGGACTGGAATAGTATAAAAACCAGGAATAGAGGGCTGGGGCTGTAGCTAAGTGGCACTATGCCTGCCTTGCAAGTGCAAGGTCCTGAGTTTGATCCCTGGTACTGGAAAAACAAAACAAAACAAAACAAAACAGAACAAAACCAGGAATGAGAGTTTCTCACATTAATTGAATATACGATATATAGCAGAAGATAAAAAGAAAATGAATTAATGAAATGAATTTGAAAATATTAGGGATGTCTTGGCTCCAGTGCAAGTAGAGAATTAGCCAGCATCCAGGTTTCTTAAAGGTATGGAACACTGCGTGACTTCCAAATCAAGTCCTAGCAATTGTTAATGAGAGCAATGCCTCTGGAGTTAGGGAACAAGTGAATGAATCATACAGAAAAGATACAGAAAGAACAACTCTTAATCCTGTCCAGCAATAGGCTACCTCCATATCATTCTCCAATACTGGAAGCAAATTACTGGTGGCAACTACGAGAGTCCCCTTCAAGAAATGTAATACGGCTTCTACATGACTGTTCTTTTTAAAGAGTAATGGCAGGGGTCAGCAACAGCCTACGGGATGCTTTTAAAGGATGGTTAAAAACCAGAACAAAAAACAACAAACGTGTGTTCCACAAAGGTTAAAATACTTGTCTGGTCTTTTACAGGAAGAGTGTGCTAATCGTTTAGTGTCTAAAACCTTGAGCTCCACCAGAATATACACTGTATAGAGAAAGAGACTTTAACTCATTATTATGGAAAATGTCAGACACACATACTAAGAGAATATTGTCATGAATCCTCATGTATCAATTATCACACTAAAAAGACTCAATAAATTCTTATCAAATCTATAGTATTTGATTTTCTCACAATTAGAACTACTGTATTTGAATAAATGTATGTTATTTTATATAAATAAATGTAGCTTGCTGTACATGAAAAAATAAGATATCCCCTGAAAATAAGCCCTATTGGGTGTTTGGAGCAAAAATTAATAAGGTCCAGTCATATTTTGGGGGAAATATGCTATGTACATTTGTTGTCTTATCCCTTTGACTTTATCTCTAATACTGAGGAAAAAAATAGTTATTTGTGAATTGTGAATTATCAGAAATTCTTGGGGATCTATTCCTCACATAAACTATGTACTACTGCTACTGTGCTCTAAATGAATTAACAAAGGTCTAGACACCATATTTACAAACTACTTTAAAATAGTTAAAAAATATATAATCTAGTTAATTGATAAGCTCCTTGAGGTTGTTTTTTTCCCCAAGTTGTTCCGATATCCACTAATTAAAAGCTTAAGGTTAATCTTTTTTTTTTTTTTTTTTTGGTACTGGGGATTGAACTCGGGTCCTTGTGCTTGCAAGGCAGGCCACCGAACCGCTGCACTAAATCCCTGGCCCGCTTAAGGTTAATCATGATAGCTAATGCTATCCTATTAGGATACAGCAGAATCATGCTCTGAAGTTTGACTGACCAGAGCAGGATCTCAATTTTAAGCAGTTTATCTAAGGTCAGAAATAGTAACGTGTATTTTTTTCATGTATTTTGTAAAATAAGGCTATTATGGATAGAATCTAACTCATTGTGAGGATTAAAGGATGTAGTGCTTAGACAGAAACCCCTAAATGCACATGACCTGTAATAATAGTAAAAACATCGACAATGATTGTATCTTCTTACTATGTACAGGACAAAACTAATGTTTTAAAATTCCACAGCATTTAGTGATATTAAAAATATTAAGACAGTTCAGCTAAAATAACCTGATGAAAAAAATAAGATTGCTACTTTATGATACCAGAAATTGAACTCAGGACCTTCTGCTTGCCAGGCAGGTGCAGCAAGATGGCTGCTTTACCATCAAATATATTAGGAAGCCCTTCAATTTTAGAGGCTTATAGTGTAGGTAGTTTTTGCAATGATTAATGACAACAACAACAACAACAACGAAATACACTAATAATAAATTAAAAATCTGGTTCAAGATCTAGTATTTGTTTGATGAGTATCATAATTTAAGAAACTTTTGTCTCCCCACCCCCAAAGCTCTATGGATTCTCTGTTCAAATGTCCTACCTGCAATAATGCCAGCCCTTCTTCATTATCTCTGTTTTGTGTTCTTTCCATTTTCAGTAGACTTGTCACATTAGTTAAATATTTCAGTTTTTGGGGAGGGGCTTTCAGGGTTTCACACCGTTGTAGCAACCTTAGGAACAGAAGACAAGATTATTTTATTTTTAAAATTATCATTAGTATTACTTTTGAAACAGTTCTTTTTCCCCCTCATATTCATAAGTGCTACTTTTATTATCAGCAGTAAGTATGCCCCCCCAAAAGCCCTGATAATAAGTCATTACTTAACTTTTCTATTTATTACCTCATATCACATGACTGAAGCTATCTACAAAAAGAATACTTTCTCTTTTACAATGTAACAATATTTATTGATATACACTTTAAATTAAAATTTGTGTATCCTTTAAATACGTTCCCCAGATTATTACAGCACAGAAGTCTATCACTTGTTGCGGACTGTTCGCTAAGAGATGGAACACTGGTCGGAGGGTCTTAAATATGACTCTAAATCCCAAATGTCAGTATTAAAGAACACAACCAATAAAAGCAAATTTCTACACTAGTTAATCTAAATGTTTTAAAAGAAAACCAAGTTCCACGAAGTTTAAAGAACTATAGCACTAAGATTAAAATGATTTGCTTTAAAGTAGTAGCAACATAAATGGTATTCGATATTCAAATAAAAAATACTCCTACAAATATGAATTGACTACATCATTTCTAGAAACTGATCTTTTTCTATCCTCATATCTAGCAAGAGCAAAACAGCTTTCTCAGATTTGATTCTTAATTTCTATAAGGAAGAAATAAAGGAGGAAAAAGTAAGTTTGGTTGCTTCTACCTGATAAAAACATTTTTGTATTCTAAAAATTCGACTGTAAGTTGAATATCCCTAATCCAAAATATCCAAAGTGCTCCAAAATCTGAAACTCGCTGGGTGATATGACATAAGCAATAACTGGTATCATAAAACTCTGGTTGATGTACAAAATTATTAAAATTATATAGTATTAAGTCAGATTATGTGTATAAAGTATGTATGTTGCATAAATGAATTTTATGTCTAGATTTGGGTCCCACTTCTAAGACTCCTCATTGTATATGTACAAATACCAAGCTCTCTCCAATCTCAAATCCCAATCATTCCTGGTCCCAAGCATCTCAGAGTAGATACTCAAAGAGTACTTAAGATTTAAAAGAATCAGAACAACACTGGAATCCAAGATTTATCTGAGATCGTGTTCAAAATCTTAACTTTCTGTGAAAAAAAGAAGTATAAACTTCACAAATTGTAATTTTCATTAAACTGTGAAGATAAATTTCAGTTATACAGAAAAATCACCATTAGCCTATCATTCATAATAAGCACAAAAAAACCTGTCTGCATAAATCTTTCTACATTTTAGTTTTTTAAGTAAAAGAAAGGGCTAGAGACATGGCTCAGTGATAGAGTCCTTACCTGACATATGCAAGTCCCTGAGTTAAATCCTGAAATTTTACTTTTGTTTTTATCAACTCAGTTATGTGGAAGAGCCATTTACTCTTGCAAATGTTCTAAATAATGATTAGATTTCCAAAAGTCTCACAAGCTCTAATAAAGGTGTGCCTTGAGTATATGCTACTATATCATCAATGCTTAATCACCATTTGCTTTTAACACTGTAGTGGCGAAGGGTTTTGCTTCCATCTGGTGAAGGGGATAGACATTTTATTAATCATGTTCATGGGAGGAAGCTTTTGCCACAAAAATTAGGGCAAGGATGGGCACATCACCTAGGCTGGGCCAATCAGAGATATCTCCCATAATTTTCTAAATGAAGCTAATGGGATAGAGTTTTCTTTATTATTTACAAGGATAAAAGGAGCTGCCCATGTTTGCGGTTTTCATCTAGTGTGAACTAACAACAACAAAACTCTAAAAGAATGCTGCCAATATGCAGAGAAGCACGGCTAAGACTAACATATGATGGTAAGTTCCTGTGGTTTGGGATGTCCAACCCCTCTCAACAAACTTCTATCTTGATTCATTATTATGGTTTTGAGTTTAAGTGTCCCCCAAAGGCTATGTACTAAAGATTTGGTCCTCAGCTAAGGGCCCTGTAGGATGGTGGCAGGAACACTGGAAAGTGGGAGCAAGCAGGTCCAGAAGAGAGCACAGGAGTACCCTGCCTGCATAGGGCCACCTAGAAAACTGTTATTCCAAGATTTGTTTCACTATGTTCAGCATCTAGGTAGTCAGAGGCACAGCTGCTACAGGTCCAAGGGAGCCTGGCTATTGCTGGAGCTGATGGTACATTTTGATGTTGTTCATCTAATGCTAGTTTTGCAGGCATGCAGAATGCAAGAGTTATGGGGTAACAGAAACTTCAACCTGGCTACCATGAGGTAAGCAGCTTTATACTACTATCACATGTTTCTGCCATGATGGACTGCCTTACTCTTAGGTCTAGAAATCACTAGGCCAAGTGATCATGGACTAAAACCTCTGTTTGTTTTTTGTTGTTGCTGTTTTTTGAGACAGGGTCTCACTATGAGACTGACCTGGAACTCACTATGTAGCCCAGGCTGGTCCCAAACTCACAGCGATACTCCTGCCTCAGCCTGCCTAGTGCTGGTATTACAGGCATGCGCCACCACGCCCGACCTAGACTAAAACCTCTGAAACTTCTTTTAGGTTGATTTTCTCAGGTATTTTCTCTCAGTGATGGAGTTCAGCACACCCACCTATTGGATCCCTCCCTATTTTGTTACTAAGGATAGAATAATACTTAAAGAAAAAGTAAACAGAACTTGTGCTCAAATGACTTCCCAAAAATAGAGTGCTGGGTCATAAACATTTCCAGGCAAACCCAAAACTGAGATGTAAAACTTTGTTTTGTGAAAGGAAAACATTAAGTAAATACTAGAGAAACTTAGTACTAAAAATCATGGGCAAGAGAGAGTTTTGGTTGTAAGGACACTTGAAAAGAAACAACCATTAGTGACTTGCCAAGAGATGAAGAGCAGTAATACCTTGGAAGATTATACTGTTATTTGCGCAAATAATGTACTATAAATATGAACTAAAAGAAAAGCACAATAGGATAAATATCACATTGATTAATTGTGAACTGCTAACTTAAGCTTGTTAAAAACAAAGTTTAAGGGAAATAAAGTTGAAAATATTTTTAAAACATTAAGACGGAATAGTAAAATGTAACAATAAAAGTTGTCAATTTTCAGTCTTTTGTACAAACTCTCTGACATTGGGGATGTTTCAGTAATACCTGTTTATACAAAGAACACATATTCTCAAATTGTTCACTTAGAAACAACAACACATCTTTCAAAAATATCTATTTTGGCCAAAAATTTAAAAAAAGGAAAAATCAGATTTAAAAAAATCATGTTTTAATCATTTTCAGTTATATAACTATCTATCTTACCTTTTCTTCAGGCAGTTGAGATGATACTGAATTTTTTCTTTTTCTTTAATATTATTACTCAAAATTGCTCTAAAAAAGAAAATTATCAGTGTGAAACACAAGTAAAATAATTTGTGTACGTTTTCTCTGAATTCTCTCAAGTGTTCTTCTTGCCAGGTAGGCAGAATTCACTACTTTCCCTTTTATATGAAATATATTTTAAGTAGTTCAGCAAAAAATTTTGAGGTCCACAATGTATAGTAATAACTTATATGGCTGGCTTTGCTGATGGAGCTCAGCTCTAAATCAGCAGAAATGCTATCTTTTCTTTGCATCTTCCATAGCATGGCAGTTTCCACATCAAGAGTCATTCTGAACTCAATTTCCTCCAAAAAATCTTACTGACAAAACAAATTAATTTTTTTTTTTTTTTTTTTTTTTTTTTTGAGACAAGGTCTCACTATGTAGTTGAGACTGACCTGAAACTCACTATGTAGTCCAGGCTGGTCTCGAACTCACAGCGATCCTCCTGCCTCAGCCACCCGAGTGCTGAGATTATAGGCGTGCGCCACCACATTCAGGCACTACAAATTAAAATTTTTATAGATGGTCAATCTGGCCACAAAGATTTTTATTTCACTGATGGAATCCCAAGTTTTGAACATAAAAGAAATTTTTTGTTAAAGACTAATGCTATCACAAAACATTAAATATATCTTCTTCTGAAATAGAAAAAAATTCTATTATCTTAAAATATAGAGTAATATTTAGAAAAACACCTGTAGGAAACATGCAAGTGGTAACCAAAGGAGGAAAAAGCAAAACTTTATACTCACATTATTACTGCTTCCATCATCGTTTGCAAATGCTCCCTCACACTCTTTGAAAGAGGCTGCCAGGTTTTTCTCTTGTTGGATGCTATCTTTATCTGCTTTAGATTAGTAGTATTTGTTTGTCCTGTTATTGATGACAGAAGATACTGTGACTAGTTCAGAAATTTGCATGTTTTTACTTAAAAAGTAGTTTCTTTTATCTAAAAAGTTATTGGAATTATACAAACAAAAGATTACAAAGGTGTATAAACTTTTTAACCAATTTGCTGTTGCAGAGCTCTAACGTGCTACGTGTTGACTATGAATATGCTCAGCCCATTGTAATGTTAACTGAAACAGTATTAAGTGATACTGCAATACAAGCCCCAAACAATATTAGATGAACAACCAACCTATAATTTGTTTTGTTTTGTTTTTTGGTACCAGGCATCGAACTTGGGACCTTGCACTTGAAAGGCAGGCGGCAGTACCACTGAGCTAAAGCCCCGGCCCTAACCAACCTATAATTATTCAAAGTTTTACAAAACTGTTTCTACCAAATTCTGTATGGCAACTGGAAAAAAAAGCAGATGAACAAAATGACAGATAGGTATTCAGCAGCAGCTATGGTGGGTGTTGTTCTACTTACAAACAAAGGAGATATGAGTGACTTTCCTAAAGATCAATTTTGGAGAGAAAGGATGTTAAATTACAGGTGTGCAGAGCATTACAAAATAAAGAAGTAATGTGCTGTATGAAGTATAAAACCAAAACTTAGTCTTGGGTGAGGACAGTTAGAAGCCTCCCATGAGGAAGTGGTTTAAGAAAACATGACTACTCCAAATTAATTTACTCCAAGGTCTTAGGTAGTGGTTCCAAATTAATCTACACAGCAGTGGCAGAAAAAAAAGCACAATGCCTTGAAAAAAAAAGTAGATTTATCTCTAAATAATAATTCATAGTGTGAGGTATTTTGATTTTCTCTAGTTCCTACGAAGTTAGTAGCATAGAAACTTCACTGTATTTTGCTAAAGTGCTTAGTAAAATTTCAGTTAACCAAAAATAATAACTGTATCTTATGAGAACGCAAATGTGGCTGTTCATTACTATTTTGTGCAGAACTCATAAAAAAGATGCTGAAAAAAATGTCATGAATATATCTTGAGAAAAAAATACACGTTTAACAAGATATAGAAAAGAAATACCTTCAGAAGACATGTGCTTTGGATGACTTTTACTTCTTTTTATTGTGCTTCTAACCTAGAGGGAAAACACATACAAGAGAGAATTAAACATCACATAAAAATGTATCACTTTTGCAACAGCTTTGTCACGTATTTCAAATACTCATGTATCTTCTGAGAGAAAAAAAGTATACTGGCAGTTCTATAGAAGAATGGTGTATATCTATCACAGGCAGAAAGTACACTAAAGTAATTCTTAGTGATGACAGAATTTTATGTAATTCGAAGAATCTTTTAAATATTCACTTTGTCTGTGAAACAGTGTTATGTATTTTATCTGCAAAACAAATATAGGCATTGCCTACTGAACAGGGTGAAACCTAAAGAAGGTAGGATTAGCTCATTTACTCTTTTATGAGGCAAGGGCAAAATTAAGGTAAGAAGAATTAATTCTTCCTCAATTTTTTCTAACTCTTCCTAATTTTTCTGTATTAGAAGAAATCTCCTCCACTGACACTCTGTTCTCTTTTAACAGATAAATGTAATATAAATTTGTATACTTAATTCCTTACTCTTCCATACTCTTAATTCCTTAGCCTACCCCCTGACCTCCTCTTGCCAAAGAATTTCATGGTCACTTCTTCATTTTAGAAAGTAAACAAGTTTTTATCTGTAAACTTTACAAGTCATGTTACAAAAAAAAGTGACTCTTAGTCTTCACATACTTCAAATGATAAACACATACTTCTAAGAGTTCTAAATGATGGATTTGATATTCTCATTACCTGTTTCTCTGACAACTCCACTTCATCAATTTTTCTTTTTGAAGGTTTTTTTAATTGTTGAGACGTTTTCTTGGAAGCATTTGCTTTACCAGGCATCTTGATCTAAACAGTACAGTTTTGCTTTTAAAAAACGCTAAAGATGAAAAGAACACAGGAAAATCAGCAAGCTTTTTACAATGTTTTGTTAAAAAGACTACCTATGTTGCTCTAAATTCCCTTTTTTAAAAAAAAAATCATAACAAATAGAAGTTTGGAGATAATACGTTTTAATAACGCTTTTAACTTTTTTTTTTTTTTTTTTTCTTTTTGAGACAGCGTCTCACTATGTAGACCAGGCTTGCCTCAAATGCATGGCAATCCTCTTGCCTCAGCCTCCCAATTATAAGCGTCCATGATTACACCTGGATCAGACTTACACCATTTTTAATCTATATATTAGCCTTCACTTAGGTGCTCTTATTTAGTAAACAACATGATTTGCTGTATATAGTGAGCTCTTGCAAGAGAGGTCTATAAATGAAGCACTCATGGATGGGTTTTGAAGTAAAGTAAGACAAGATAAGGAAATTGGGTATGCTAGTAATGTAACAAAGGAGAAATTGCACGTAGAGTAAGGAACCACATTATTCAGAATCTGGGTAAAGTGAAGTTTTGCTTTTTTTTTTTGGTACCGGGGATGAACAGGGGACCTTGCGCTTGTGAGGCAGGTGGCGGAACCACTGAGCTATATCCCCGGCCCAGTGTGATGTTTTGGTTTCTATTACTTTTTTGTAACTGATCTAACAGTCTCACCACCACATCTGGCTCTAATAACTCATTACAAAAAGTATCAGTTGTGACTGATTAGCCATTATTCCTAACAATGTCAGAACAGTTGTATTTTAAAACAAACAGAAATATTGCTCTGGTCTTGATCCCCTGGAAACCAGAGCCTAGTAATAGTGGGCCGACAAATATGAACACAGTTATTATACATGATGTGACAAAGGCTGCTTTAAAAAACCCAAATGAGTGAATGACTATCGTAAACTGCCTGTGCAGACGTGGGAGTACACCCTGTCAGAGAAAACCTTATATGAATTCTTTTGCATTATTTACCTAAAGGAGAAATAAGGGGAAATTAGAAAAGGCCGGATGACAAGAGCTCGAGGGGGCGGAAACACGCAGTGTGACTTTTCACGTGTGATGGCGAGTGGAGAGAAGGCTCCAACAGTAGTTTGCGGGCGACTACATACTGTACGAACGAGGGAGGCACCCCGTGCTATCTCGATCTCTTGCCAGCTGGCCGCAGAGCGTGGAAATCAAGTATCTCGATCTAGACTCCCAAACGGGCTCAAGAGGTGAACCGGAACGGGATCATCCCTGGCGATACGCACAGACGCTAATCTGTAAGGCTGGCTGAGGGTGTGCCTGGGGCATGGGAAACTGAGGAGGACGGGGAAGTAGGGAGAGAGTAGGAGTATACGTGGTTTCACTCCCTCCTGCAAAATCAAATGCTTCAACCAGCGGCCCTGAGTGGCAGAAGCGTTTGGATCTCAGACATTACTCCCAGAAAATCACGTAACGCTCAACTGCAGACCACGGAGCGCTCCAAAAACGCGCCGGCCACAAAACTCATCTCTTATCCCACCCAGCAGGTCAAACGCTTTCAAGACTCACCGACTGATTCTTCTTGAACGTGTCTGAAAACCGCACTTACAGGAATTCGCGCCCAAACAACCAAAACGCCACAGGGACCGGAAGTAGGTGGGGATAGGAATAAAGCCGAAACGCGTGTTGCAGGAGGCGGACCTCCAGCCGGTCTCTTCCGGTATTAGAAACGCGCCCGAGAGAGCAACGTGATTGGCTGGAAGCAGGGTCGTGTCAGCCAATCCCCTGGTTCGTCCGGCGGGCGTTCGCTCCGGCTGGACTGCAGGGTTTCCAGCTGTGTGAGGCCCCCTTCTCCCACAACCGAATCCCAGAGCTCGGCTAAAGAGTAGGGCCTCTGCACTTAGAAGCGCACCAGGCTTTCCAGTTTCTCTCCCCCCCCCCAGTTCATCTCTTTGTTCTGTGGTCTTTCTCTATGCCTTTTTTCCCTTTGCATTCTAACTGCTGCAACAGGATCCTAATTATCTTTTTTTGTTGTTGTTGTTAAATTACCTTGCTCTCTAGATGCTCGCCTCCACCGACTTTTCATTGAGAATTCGGAGACATGGCTGCAAAGCAGGTGCCCTTAACACCACAGAGACTGTGTCACTCACTGTCTTCTGTAGCCGCCCAATCCCTAGTAGATGGGGGTCGCTCTAGGACTGCCCCCCTTCCAGCCCGCAGCTCTTGTTATTAGGGTTTTTGCAAGAGACGTGGAACAAAATGTAGGTGGGTTTAGAAGTGAAAGAATAGGAAACAGCTCTAAATTGAAGTAAAGTATAAATTACTTGTCTTAGTTACTTTTTCATTGCTGGCACAAAATGCCCGACACCCACAAGCTAGAGGAGAGGTTTATTTAGCTCACAGTTTGTAGAGGTTTCAGTCCATAGACAGTTGGTTCTGAGGCAGGGCAGCAAGGCAGAGGAGTAACAATTCAGGCTGTCAAGCAGGAGGATTTCTTTACCTCTTTATTCCATCTAGGCTACAATTTAATGTCTGCCCCAAGGTGCTACATGTCGTCCTTTTACTGTCCTCCTTCATCTCCAGGATCGACTCACATATGCTCATGAAGTAAACCGCGCATGGAGCCTTGGTGTGCCTGGTGTCTGTGGGTCAGGAAGCAGCAAAGGGGCCAGAGGCGCGAGCCGGGCTCCAGGCTGGGCCGCAGGTGCGTGGCGGGGGGCGGAGTCCAGAGCTCCTGCAGCCCTTGCTCACCTCTGCCCATCAGTGCCATCAAGTTTGAGCTTTTTTTAAAGGCTAATAAGGATTTTTTGGTAAGAATCACAACCTTTGTGCCTTTAGAGATGAGTAAATAACCTAAATGTGTATATCAGCTACAGAAAATAAGAAAGGGGGGAGTAAGGAATAGTGAGGTTGGGGACAAATTAGAGAAAAATACGTCCAGACCATCTTTTAAAAAAATGTTTGCTACCCAAAGCAGGTTTGTCATTTTATTCCCTTAAGAGGCAACTTTGCCTCACAATTTGAGTATTCCTAATGTTTTTTTTAAAAAGAAGACTCTTATTTAAGGACACAAGAGGAAATTCTTCCCTAAAGTTAACCAATTGTGAAGTGAATAATTCCTACCAGTAGCAAATAATCACAGCTATTTCTTTTGCATGCATAAAACTGTAGGTCTACGTGGTGGGTTCACAGTTACTTGATTATATATGCATTTCTTTTAAATCAAATTCAATTGTTATATTAAAATCTGGACATTTATTTTGTAGTGTGTGACAGTTTTGTTTTATATTGTTCAGTTTAAGCCAGTTCTGGTCTTACTATTATTTTTGGTTATCTTTCTTCTGGGGAATTGGGATGAACTTCTCTATGGGAAAGCAGAGGAGAGCTGGGAGACTGCTGTGGGATCACTTAATAGAGGAAGTGTTTCAGCCTAAATCTCTTCTAAGATAACATTGTCAGGTATCAGGATGGTCACTTATTGAGCAGGTATTCATATAATTTAACATAGAGGATTTTAATAAAGAAAATGAATATTTTCTTCTAAGCAACACATCACAGGTAGTAGATTTAAGGAACCTAATGCTAGTATTTGAAGTGTAACACACATCTAGGTTTGTATTTACACATAGTGAAGAAATAAAATTGGCTCCATCTAGTGGTTAAGAATGTAAACCCATTTAAATCACAGTTTAGCTAGATGCATTGGTGGGTGGTTGTAAGTCCTAGCACTGGGGAGGCTGAGGCAGGAGGATCACTATGAGTTCAAGACCAGCCTGGACTACATAGTGAGTTCCAGGTCACTCTCAACTACATAGTGAGACCCTGTCTCAAGAACAAACAAACAAATAAAAAATAATGTTTATATCGACAATATAATTCTGCATTAACCAGAATTCTTAGAGAACTGCCCCACAAGGGTGGTCCTGCATACTGGGAAGGATCAAGAAATTACTGTACTAAGTATTTGAATTCAATTAAGGAAAGACTTGTCTCAATAAAATACATTAAATAGAGCATTTAGCATCAAGGAAACCTTTGAAAGCTGCTTGTCCTCTTGCCTCTGACAAATTGGTCCCATCTTGTAACAGTGTAGAACCACAGAAGTCTGCTTGCTGGAACTTTCTAGAATAACCACTGGTCATGTGGTCCAAGTACTTGTTCCTTTCCCCTCTCTTTCTCTCAGCCTTCAGTTGGCTGTATTTCACCGTCCACTTGCTGTTTTGCCTTCAGAAGGCAAATTGCTTAGTCACAAAGCCACAGGTAAAAATATATGTGCATGGACTCATTCACCACCTGGCCATGTCTCCCCAGTCTCTCACCTCCTGATCCCCCACCAGCATCCACTGAAATGCAGTCCAGGTGTTAATCACAACCCTAACTTCCACTGCCACCAATCCAGTTTTTTGTGACATACTTACTTATCTATTTAGTGTCTTTCGTGCACCAGCCAGTACATTCCACGCTGGGATGTAGTCCCACCTGCAAGAAGTTCACAGTAGGCCAGACTGGAGGGCAAATGGTACAGTTTCAGGTAGAGGGAAGGGGCAGGGATTGAAGTGCCTGATGCATCCCCACCATAGACGGCAGTGCGGCTTTAGTATCTCACAGGCCAGTGTGGGTGAGGAAGAGGGCTGTGTGCCTCGGGTCAGCATGCGCACAACACCACAACCTGGATAGGACACATTGGCCAAACCTGGAAACCCCAGAGACACCTTGCTGGGGAGGTCTGGAGGCTGTGCAAACTGTTCTTGGAAACTCAATGTATTCCCTAAGTGTCTGTGGCAAGGTGACCTCCCTTGTCCCTGTGGTCAGTGAGGCCTTGGGAAGTCAATTACAGGATATACATTATAGTATATATACACACTCATTAACTAAAAGCAGCGATTTAATAAAGATAGCGTTTGTTAAAAACTGCGAGTACAGATATTCTTTATCAAACACATTAGGATTAGAGTTTCAGGCATGAGTCCACAACTGCTACTCACCAACTCTGGACTTTGGGCCTAGCACATTCTCAATGCTGCTCTCTGCTATGATCCTTGGGAAAACAATTATTGGTCTGTCGCTGGGCACTGAGATAGTTCAAATAACTGAAGGACATAAATACTGGACATATCCATGGAGTCATCATTGATGTCAGAGAAACATTTCATCAAGAGTTCAAGGCCTCACGGCAGAGTGCCAACATAAAAGGGAAATTGCGTACAGTATACGAGGACACCCTCTCCCACATTCTATTAGGGAAGCCAAAGGAGGAATTCATTCTGCTCACAAGAAAGTAGTAGCCTCATTTCCCTTAGAGAGTTGAAACAACATAAAAAGCACTCTGCCAGTTCATCTTACTAAACCGTATTTCACCAAATTAAGCCAAACATTTCACTATGCATGCAACTCAAAAAAGACACCCCCAAATCACTCAATGGATTTCTCATAGTTATCATCCCCTTCAAAGAGTCCTGGGCCTTCAATTCCTGATCGAAGGTTTGTGAGAGGTCATTATCAGAATTGTCCTTCATGAACTCAGCCTGGGGAAGCTGCAGAGGGATCACCCCCAGAGTGCTTCATTCAAAATAATTGGTAGGGGCTCTTTTTGTTTTTACTACCTTCTGGCCACCACGGCCTGTTTCTCCTCTGCAATGCCCCTCTGTCCTGCCACACTGCCTTTTTGGAGCCAGCCAGTGATGGACTGAAACCTCTACAGACGTTTGTACACTCAGGTTTCTTTGCTTGCCAGCGTCCAAATCAAGGGACTCCATGTACTTTGGTAAAAAGGAAAAAAAGGATTCAGTCAAAGCTATCTCTGAGGAGGTGGAGGAAACCCTTTGCCTCAAATCACCATCCGGCTGTGTAAAGGAGGCTGAAGGATCTGGGACAGAATGCTGAGTGGTCTGTGATAGAAGATTCTGGGCTGGAAACCAGGAGACAACGCCCAAGGTAAAGGAAAACACTGGGGCACCTCCAAAAAGCAATTGACAACACTTCGAGGGCAACTGCTAGACCCTGGGGTGGGGAGAATAACAGATTGCCAGATAAACTAAAAAACAATTTAGCACTCAGCAAGAAGAGGAGTGGGAACTCACGTTGAAACATCCCACAGTGGACAATGCCATCACCACACTTCCAGATAAAAAAAAGAGAAGCACCCCTGAAAGTCTCAATTAGAGAATCAAGGTGAACCAAATTACTTTCCTTGAAGCATTGCCAAATATTTGAAGTGAACTTTATTGGCAGCAACAAGTTTCTTTTTTCTTTTCTTTCTTTCTTTCTTTCTTTTTTTTTTTTAGCAACAAGTTTCAAGGCATCAATTAGAAGAGAAATTTTCTTGCAGAAAAATAATCCAGGAAGAAGCTCGCTTTATGTTTTTCTTATAAAGCTCATTTTGTTTGATGGATTTATAGACCCGTCTGCTTAAAGACAGATTTGCCCATTAGTCAAAGTGTATCTGTTTCTTTTTCATGTGGTGTGATCTAAGGAAAATTTTACTCATATGTACACAGATATGTACACATACTTTTACAAATAGGCACACACATAAACAATGCATTAGGAAATCAGAAAGCCATTTAAATTGGAAATTGGAAGGACTGAGCTTTGCTATGCTTTATAAAAGTAAAAATTTTCTTCAGTGCATACAATTTTGCTCACTGGTAAAAGTATCGTCCATTACCACAAAGTACATTTAACTCTAGAATATCCATTATTAGTATTTTCCTCTCTGCAAGCTGAACATGCCATTAAAATTTCATTAAAAAATAAGGAATTAACCTTTTGTTCTCCTAGACAGTTCAAGAAACTGGTAACTGCTAAGGCAGACTCTTTCATGTAGAATGTCAAATACTTTTGTAGGTCGGATTAGGGTTGTGCATTAAAGGTTTATTCCCTAGAGAGGTACTTTTGGAAGGTTCTGGAACACATGTAAGAGCTGTCATCCAG